ACACCCCCCGGTCGCGTTCCAGCCCTGGCACCGCCGAGGAGCGAAGCCCCGCGTGGCTCACGGCGTTCGTCCGGGCCAGGTATGTGCGTTTGGCAGATTATTCCACCTTCACTTGCCCAGTCAGTTTCTGAGCAATCAGCCACTGTACTTGGTATATAAAAACTAATTATTAGTAAATTAATTTTCCAAACCAAGGACGTGTGCACCAGCTTGTCATATAACCAGGACCTCATTACGTGTCACCTTATCCCAATCGCTGCTCCCTTTCTGTCTCCCCAAGGGCCGCCTGAGGATGGCCTCGTCCTCTTCTCGTAACATCCCAGCCTAAGAACTGAATTACACATTGCAGGCATCAGGGACAATTCCTCGCACTGCTCATCACCCCAGCACAAACTGACAGTACGCCTGACCAACAGCTCTGTCTGTAAACCGCAACTGTAAAACGGAATCACCTAGAGACCAAGTGAGTATCCCCACCAGGGAATACCTTACCAACGTCCAGCAAAAGACAATTCCTGCCTCAAAAATGCTTCCAGTCTGTATAGAAATGAGCATGAAATCACGGAACAATATTTAGTCTTATGAGGAGAAAAATGTTTTTCCAATCTTTTCACCTTCCCTTCATTTTCCCATTTCCGATGTATAAAGTTCTCACAATACTATTATAATTAAACCAGGGCAGAGTCCCAACCATTGTAGATGCAGGAACAGCCATCTGAACAGCTGTTACATGAGTAAAAGCTTTGATGTTCAGAATAAGGCATTAAAGAGTGTAACCACTTTGCTTTGGAAAATGCACGTTGTGCATTCACATCCTTTAAAGAAGCTTTCAGATTTTCTCCTGGAGATGCATATACAGGTACGAGCCTCAAAACAACAGTCCCTCTTGTCGTGGTTACTGCCTGTGAGACGACTGACTTATTCCTGAGGCAGGGCCCCTGAACTCCAGTTTAAACACACTGGTGATAACTCCAGCTTGAGAGAAAGGCAGGTCAGGGCGGTGGGTTTGGAGGAACTGTGAGTGAACCAGCACGTTTCCTCCTCACAGAGCCTCCCTCTGTTGCTTTGGTTGGGGCTGCTGTGAAAAGAGTATATTTCTGATCTGAGCACAGTTAGGAGTCTCACGTATTCCCATTTTGAGCTGATAGTCCCAAATCTTGATCATTTTAACATACAAGTGTTTGAGTTACTATCTAAGGCAGTCTCACCTTGGAAAAACAACATCTATAAAAGAGTATCTGTTAATATTTGGAAAGGTACCAGCACATCCTGGTGTTAAATCTGTTTTTTTGACAGAAAAATAATGCAAAGTCATCTTTCTATGAACACTCTCCAACAACCATAAGCTTTTTAGAAAAAACACTCTGGAGGGAAAAAAAAACAAAACCCCAAACATAAAAACCTCTGAATAACTGTCCACCTACAAAAAACCCCAAGAAAAAAAAAATCTTAAAATCTATTTAGTTAAGATATTGAAGGAGTTTGGCCTCTGTTCATCATTAATAAATAGGCTATTGCCCATTTTTTATTTCAAGTATATTTACCTCAGGTAAATCCTCATCACTGCTCGATAGTTGTACAACTTCTGTACTTACTGCTCTGTAATTATCTTCTATGGGAAACTGATGAAAAAACTGTTATGTGGAAGTGGATCCAAATGTTTTAAGCAAATTTGAATGTCGGGGTTGGGATGAACTGGCCAGTAACATGTATCTGAGAAATTTATACTCTACTTTCCCTATGAAATTTTGGCTCTGTTTTAGACCACAGCTCAGTACAGCACTTTAAGTCTGTGCTCCCTTTCAAACATGGGGTTTAGATTCACTGATGTCAGCAGGTACGCGTTCTATATATTTTTCTTTTGGGGCCAACAGATCATTTCCTGTTCCTGAGGTTGTACAGAACATTCCCCACAAAAAGCACCAAAAAGGAAAAGTAAATCTTTTCCTCAGAACCCCTATTTCTCCAAGCTAGCAAGGGCTCTTCGTGCAGGAGTATCTGGGAAAAAAACAGGCTTTATAGTGTTTGAGTTAGGCTGAACTCAACGGTGAACTCGCAATCTCTCATGCTCAGGAATAACTTTGCCCTCCTGGGCAGCTGCTGAGAATTAGTTCCATCAGTTGTTGCAAGAGGAAAGGGTTTTGTGTGTGTGTGAGCATTTGCAGTATTGATCTTATCCTGTCCACTGTGTGTGGCTCCACTGCCCGTACCTCACCTCCCTTCAGTTAGCACTTACATTTGTATAGATTTTAAACATCATGAGAAGATAAATTTAACTTACAATAACCATTTATTTAAGTTTACCTCTACTTTTTTCAGTTGGGTTGTAATATCATGCTAGCTTTCCAAGACAAGATAACACAATGCATATATATATATATATATATATATATATTATTTCCCCAGCTTGAAAAGGTTAAAAAGCTGTTTCATAGTTACATATCTGGAGAAGAGGAAACTATTGCAATTGTCTTGCATTCAACCTAGAAGAAATCTGCGCTGATTTAAGGACTCTTAGGATAGTGAAATACAGTGCCTAATTACAAATAATTATTTATGTTCAAAATTCTTGGCACAGAAGGTGGGTCACGATGCAATTTTAGAGCACTGGATTTCAGAAACTGTTTTTTGCCAGATAGGCCAGAAGGCTGAAAAAAAAAATTAGAAAAGTTATCTGAGAAATTACTCATAATTTTAAACTAGAGAAAAATCATCATCAGATGAAGGTGTCTCCCATCTTTTATACTTTTTATGGAAGGTGAATATAGCTGAGGGGAAGAGCAAAGCCCAAGATGATTATACTTTCTTCTTTGTCCATTTGGATCAAACCATCTGCAGAGATCACTAGACAATTGTAAGGGATGACTCCCAGAATCTGTGTTTTGGTACGGAATGCTTGTCTCCACTGCTGCACTTCCCTGCAGCCACTAACTGATACACGAGAACCACTCTGAAGTAAAGCTTTTATTTTGTTTTGCTCAAGGTAAGCTCACTGAAGGCAAACCTACAGACCCAACCAGAGTGAGCCTTCAGGAAATTCCTCTGCACTATACCCAAGTCGTCTCAGGTCGCGTGTTGACCTCTGGGTCCCGGCACATGGGGGACAGCACTGCTGCTCTGCGGGAAACACACGTGCCCTAGGACAGGAGGTAGGCAGGGAGGCCCCAGAGCGCTGCTGCCCAGATGGAACAGCCCTCGGAACTCTGTGACACAGCCGCAGTGTCACAAGGCCCTGCGCAGCCCAGGAGGGTGGCAGAGGCCCTGGGGGTGCACTGAGCCGCTGCGGGTGCTGGGGACAGCCCCAGGGCAGCTGCCTGAGCCCAGTGCAGGATGGAGTTCCTGGGTACCACGCAGCTAGCCAGTTACTGTGGCCCAAAGAAGAGCTGCCTGTTCCCGGATCTCACTCCCACCAGCACCACCAGGGACACCTATCAGTCCTACTGCCCACCCGGCTACCGCTCCCTCAGCTCCTGGCGGCCCGGTCTGCTTTGCAAAGTGCCTTCGGTCCCTCCCAGGTCTGACAAGCAATTTAATCCCATCAGGCAGCTGCCCACTGTTGTGCCTTCCTTACGCTCTGCCCTGCACGCCCGCTACAGCACTCGTGACTGGCACCAGGCAAACAGGGTTCACTTAAAAAGCTCCGAAGACTCCAGGGAATGTGCTGGTAGACTGAACGCTGATTCAATGAGACTGATGCAAGAAAAGGATCAACTGACTTATAAGATGCAAAAAGACAGTAAAAGGAACCTGGGAGAGAGGATCTCCACCATTGATTTCTGGAGATCTGAGCTCATCTACGAGCTAGAGTGTCTGCTGAAAGAGACCCAACAATTGGAAACAACAAAGAAGCGGCTTGATTGTGCTGCAGATGAAGTGAAAGAACCACTGAAGGCAGGTTTGACATAGCTGGTTATTTCATGACTGTACTGCAGAAAGGCTTTATTCTCTGTTGAATACTAATATGACTTTCAAGGTTCTCATCAAGACAGATCTTGGTGAAACATTACCCTCAGTAAGACAGAAACCTGGCCACCATGGGTGCTATATATAAAAAAATCAACCAAGGAACCTATCCAGACATTTCTATGTTTTCTTCTCCTTCCTTTCTGCTTGAGGCTCCAGGAGACTGAGTCTTTCTCAGGCACTGGCCAGTCAGCTCAGTACTTTACAGGAGAGCTGAAGATGGCCTTGCAAGCTGCAATATCCCCATGTTCTTACCTAGTTCTGAATTTTCTGCTATTGCTTGGTGAAAATAATATTTTCACTTAGGATAGCATATAATTTGTGTTATATTTTGAAGTTCTCCAGAATCTTAAAGGCAAATTAATTGCAACAGAAGAAGCCACAGTAATGTGTCAATGAATGACTCTAGCAAAACCTCAAAACATGCAAAAACTAGAGTCAAAGTTCTGTCATAAACACCTGCAATACTGCTGGTGGAAGCTCTATCATGTTTCTAGGCAAGTACAAATAGAAAACCAAAATTCAGTATTCAATAATGACTTTTTTAGTTGTCTATCTGTACTGATTCAGAGAACATTTTCTGCTGAAAGGCTTCGTGCTAGCTAATGCTCTATCATTTACTAGTATGGTTCTAAACAAGTGGATGAGACATTAATGGTAAAGTTAACCTGCTGGGATGGGTTAACTGAATTCCCTCTTCTATGACTGTAGTTAGGCAGTCATGCTCTTGCATAGCTATGAAACTTCCATTGGGTAAGGGAGAACGAGGCGAGATGAGATTAAAGGATTTTGCTATGGGTGAGTGCAGAACACCACAGGTCTTTTAATCCACACAATTTACAGCAAAGCTTGGGCATGTTGAGATAGAGGCATTATTAATAAGCAGCTAACCAAATGGCAGCTATGGTGGCAGCTAATCCTTAAAAGCATGTATTAAGGTAAGTAGGAATGAGCCACTAAGATGGGTCAGTGCAGTGCAATGAAACTACCTACTCAGCTGTCCCACCCTCAATAGATGGTCATTACTTGACATGTCAGCTCAGGGGCCCCTTCAGCAAGGTTCAAGGTTTCACTCCACAACGCAGTACTGAGTCTACTGCAAATGTTCCTTGCTTTGCTTGCAGATAGCCCTAGAATGCTTGTACCACCGTGAGAAGCGGAAAGGCATCGACTTAGTTCATGATGATGTGGAAAAGAACCTCATGAAGGTAAGAACAGACTTAATAGTTTATTTTTCAAACTGTGGTAATAACTAAAATCCAACTAAATATTTATCAGGGTAAAAACATTGCAATAATTTTTTCCTTTCGTTCATTTGAAAGACTGAGGAGGGGAAAAGAGGATGAAATTTGGTAAAACTATATATATATATATATATATATATATATATATATATATATTGGATGTGGCTAATGTTCCATTCATCCTTCCTGAAGCAAACGGAATAGTCTAGCATCCTTGTGAGGTCTTGTCCAATTTTACCTTCCCTGATCCTATAAACCAAGGTAAAAACATTTCTCAAGATTGTTTTCTGGGCCATGCACTATAACATCTGAGAAGTTCTTAGGGCTTACAATATAAAACGCTGGTTTACTGCCTTGCTGTATATACAGTGTTACTGAACAAAGACAGTGAGATGAGATAGTAGTGCTTGCTAAAATCTTTTAAATAAAAAAAAAAATCAAATAACATTTTGATAACATATTTGAAAGAACTTCTATTATGAACAAAAATAGTAGAAAAGAAGATTATGGGACAATAGCATTGATTCAAGCACTCTTCTGGATACAGAAGGATGTGCAGACCACTGGGACAACCAAGATGCTCGTCCAGAGCCTACAGCCTGCAGCTTGAAGTTTTAGAGTTTTAATGAAGAATCAAGGAGATAATATATATTAGTTTAAGTATTTCAGTACCTAGTTTAGCTTGAGAATTCAGGGTAGGATGAAATATTGCTAAATGTTCCACACAAATTTAAAAATTATTTTTTTGAAAATGAAAGTTAAAGGCTATTTGCCTGATGTCCCCAAGGACTGTTCTGAGTATGGAGCAAGCTAGAGATTGACAATAAAGGACCACAAAGGCTCATTTTGTAATAACAGGAAAGCCAGTTCTAAAGTTGCTGTCACTCCTACACATACTATACAAGTACAGAGACAGCGCTGGTATTTTTAAATTTGGGGTATCTTAATGACTTCCAAATGATTTAAAACACTTTATTCTCTGTTTCAAAACTCACAAAACTATATACACTTAGGTAAGAAGGTATGTTGGGCTAAACCAGACTTTTTAAAAAAGGAAAAAGGCTGGAACATCATAATATTGTTTGAGGGACCATAATTACCATGTTTGTATAGTTTTCAGTGTGGTTGGTTTGAGTATTTTTAAATTTATTTTAAGATGAGTGGAACCTGGCTTTGAATTTCTTTGACAAATACTTATAGTTTTGAAGAATACGATATACTTCCTTAGGGATCCTGTTTCTGAAATCAGATATATTTTTAACCTACTCCACGATTAGCAAAATATTTGTATTGTTCAATAAAAATGTAGAAGTAGTGAGAGAGGATAGTTCAATGGATTAAGGTTCATGTTTCAAGTGTCTTCATTATACTTAACCCAAGAAAAAATTTGACTTTATACTTATCAGAATAACTCCATCCAATAAAATACACTAACATGCATGATGTGCTATAAAAAGCCATACAAAACCAAGCCAAGAGATACAACTTTGAAGCACTGAAGAGGGACCAAAACACATCCCTTCTTGACCTACATTGCATTTGAGGTATGTGAGATGGTTGCAACATCTAGAATGCAGAATAAAAAGGGTAAATTCACTAAAACAAATGAAATTTGATGAAAGCACTGACACTGTATATTTGCCACTTTAGGAGGTTGATGTATTCAAGGACTGTCAAGAAATATTGACAAAACTGGCACACAATATCAGTCAACAGCTGAGGTAAGACTACGTTTAATTCTGGGTTTAAAGATAGGAAAGCTGTTAGCTTTCAGTGTTAGCTGGTATCTAATGACAGACTGAAAATAACAAAGATGCTCATTGTTAGATGATCATTCTCCACTTCTAATTCTTACCAATGATAGAATTTGTATGTTAAATCACAGATGAGCAATACTTACTATTTAAAGATGACTATGACTCAATTTTTAAAGTCATGTTTAATCTGAAATCCTGCATTAAAATTAGGGGACACCAAAATTATAGCTTAGCTGTGCCAGTGTTGCTATATGGCATACTGGAATGGAGTTCAAAGGGAATTTTTATTTTTTTAATTACAAAACTAAGTTCAAAGGAAATTTATTATTTACAAAAGAAACAGGAGTTTAAGCACAGCATAAGGTATGAGATGAATTATGGAATGGACTTAAATGATTTTTATGTATATTTATGTATCTTTTTGTTATGGGAGGCTTTGGGATATATTTTATTTCTTTGAGAGTACACAGATATCCTAGTAAATGCAAATTATATTTAATCTTATTTAATTAGGTGTATTGTTAACTACAGTGAAGTGACACAAATTTTAAAAGTCATGTTTATATGATGTGACATGATTCTCAAAACAAACAGTTCAGGTACTCACAAGGAAGATAAAATTGTACAGTTCTTGATTGTTACGTTACAGGTGAAAAAGACAAGTGGATTTTCTAAGTGGTTGTTCTCAGTAATGGCACTGAGGACTCACATGAGTCAGATGCATTTCTGCAGTTCATCCCACTACTGTCATACATTGGGTATTTGAGCCGATAAAAGCTGCGTTCATATTTGGGGGCATGAACTCTGTCTAGGCTGGCATTTCTGGTCACCTTTGATTCAGTTCTGTCACCACATCAGGCAGACCAATAGTAATGCCAAGGGACAACAAGTACATCACAGAAACAGCTATATTTGCAAAAAATGTCAATATGTCTGCTGTCTTCCTGATGCACTGGAAAGCAAGACTTTGATTCTTTCTTCAGCCGTATTACTCTCATTCTAGCCCAAGGTCTGCCAGGCCTTCCACCCTTTTGGAAGAGCCAAAGGAGATTAAGTTACTCCAAAATTTCCTTGTGGGTAAGAAAGCAGAGATAGAGGAACATTTTTTCCTTCTTGTGATCAAGACAAGCAGAAACATTTAAACTGATTTTCCAGTGATGTACAATTTGGATTATGCTAAGGAATTTTTCCCCCAAATCAGGAGAGATGGGAAACCACAACTCTGGTCTGCCCTCTTCTTTCTCACTTACAGCTGTGCTAGCATGAAGGTTATCACTGAAAACCTCCTCCCTTTTGCTCTGAGGCTTTCTTTCACACCACACAAAAAACACCTCTTGTTTTTTACCCCTGTGGTTTTCTGTCATCAAAATGACAAACATTATTAAATGCTGTCAGTTAAATACAATTCTTTGGGGAATACTCGCTAGAGGCTAGAAGAGATGAATAGTACAGCAGCTTCCTCTAGCTAAATTACAGCAGCAAGTGTTCTCAAGCCACTGTCAATGCCAACAAACTATGAAATGAAGTGCTGGAGGAAGGTAACGAAAGCAATTAACTATTTAGCACAACAGCACTAACGGTGGTTCAGAGTAAGGTCTTTCCCTTTCACAGCATCAACAGAGATGCACAGCATGCCCTGGAGCAGGATCTTTGTGACAAAAACTCAGCTCATTTTATTGATGAGAAGTGCTTTAAACTGAGGAACACATCGGACAACATCAGCTTTTACCATGGAGTGGAAAAAGCAGATGGGACGTGAGTATGAGGCCACGGTAGCCTTCTCTTTCCGTGCTCCCTGCTGTAAGTAGGCGCCTGATTACAGCACAAGTCCTAGCCTTATCTGTGAGAAGTGATATAGAAAGAAGTGGCTTCTCTCTCTGTATGGCCCTGGTTTTCCTTAGTGTAAAACTCGCCGTCATCCTTAATTATTCCCTGCCTCCTAACAGCTGTCATTTTCGGAGGCCAGGCAGAAGCTGGCAGTCTGCAGCACCAACAGCACTGATGTGCAGCGAGCTGTGTTTTTCAGCACAGACAATCATTTACAACTATGTTGCAGCTGACTTCTTGCCCTCAAACTCCTTTGTGCAGATGTCTTCCTATGGGTTTGATTTACACTGTTCTGTGGCCTTTAGGTTTCAAAACCACATCCAATCAAATCAAAATTCAGCTAAGGTGTGCAGTTAAGTGCAATGTGGTAAACAGCATGCAAGTGTACAGCACAGACTAGATATATTTTCTGTAAAAATAGTTTGGGTTATTTGGAAATTAGTCCATCAAGCTATACAGAGATATGTATTAAACAGAATGATTAAAAGGATATGGCATAGCTTTATCATTACAGGCTGAACTAAAATGTCCCAATTGTATATGGATTTGAAACTCTTTAGTAGTAGTGGCCGCATCAAGAACTGCATCCAAACCAAAAGCGATAGCAGAAAAGCAGCTTGCAATAGAGGGCAGTATTTTTGTGCTAATGACTTGTCAGTACCCTTATCACTCTTCAACACAGCAGTATGTGAGTGGTGAATGTACTTCACAATCTCAAATGATAAGACTTTGTCTTGTTGGAAGGAGAAAAAAAAAATCAGTATTGTTTGTTTACTTATGTTCTGCTTTTCATTAAAAGACCACCTCATTCACTACTGAAATGAGGGCATATCCGAAGGAAACTTGGCAGGCATTCTGCTGACTCTAGTAACACTACCTACTTTTAGGATTAGCAATGAATAAAATTATTCTTGTCAGCTCTAGTAAAAAGCAGATTCATGTGGATAAGTTTTACAGCCTTTTTCCTTTCTCACCAACCATTATCCAAAGAAATGCCATTTTTCATTAACATCTTCCTGAAACCATTTGGCAGACTGAGACATACCTGCAGCACTCAGGAGCAAAGCAGGTGTTTTCTGCCTCAACAGAGCCAGCTGGATAAATTACAGTCTGAAAAAGCTATGTTAAAGAACGGATTAAGTACTAAGTATTTCAGATAGTCAAGATGGAAGCCTACTTAGAAATTTAATATTCTGATGAGGAAATTTAATATAATTCATCAGAGCATAGAGGGGAAAAAAAAATCTCCCAAGCCAAATACCCTTCAGAAAGTACACTGAGATTGTCTGGATCTGCAGGTGTGGGCAATGTCAGCTCAGGTTTAGTACACTGATTTATGCACTTTACTATGGTATCAGGTTGGTTACCTGAAACTTTTCAGTGAAACAGCCTAAATAAATGTGTAGCACTAAGGAATTCCAAATTATTTAGGAAGATCAGTACTTCATTTTGGGGAGAGAGAAATACCCTATGAAAAACTGAAAAAAAAGGCCACTGAGAAAACAGTAACTGACAAAATTAGCTTTTTCTTTTTTGCATCCCTTAATATTTACTCTCAGCGTTCAATTAAAATCTGGAGTAAATGTGAAACTCAAAAAAAATAGTGACCTGTCCCTGCAGAGTTTAACACACAGGCATAATTCTTAGAAGAGTTTTGTGTGGAGAAAGAAGTCAAACACAGAAGGTTGTCTCAGCCTTTCAATTTGGCAAGTAAAATATCTGTACCTTTTCATAAAATTAGCTAAATATTTCTGGGTGAAAGAGTAGGCTAAGCAGTGCATTAAAGAAAGTGGTGAATTTAACTCCAGAGAACTGCACCAGCAGCTTTCAAGCCAGAGGCTCAGGCTGCAAGTTTAAAGCCTTGCAGACTTCTGGTTCAGAAAGATCTGAGTCCAGGATTTATGTTCAACTAATTATGATAATGATGGCCATCTTTGAAGCTTGGACATGAAACCAAGCATCCCAAAGTTTGTTTACGTACAGGACATTGCAGCAGGAACATTAATGAGTGGCATTTTGCAGCATAGGAGCCCTATGTTCAGTCTTCCTTTGTATATTCATAGGCTTTATCATAGTAAAGCCATTTCTGCTTGTCTCACAGATATTACTGTATTTACCTGTAATAGCCTTGTAAGTTAAAGCAAAGGTGTTCATTTTAATACATGGAGAAATAAGAGGATGGAGATACTTATCCAAATGACACAGCAGGACAGTGTTGAGGCTGGGAGAAAATTCCAGTTCTCCTCACTCCTAAGTCAGTGCCTTATCCATTTTCCTGCTATCATGCTTTCTGATGATGAAGGCTACTAGGCTAGAGTCACATGTTTTATTATGTAAGTCCTACATATCTCTTAGGGAAGGGCTGCTCTGATAGCAGACCAGCGCTGTCTGAAGAGCTCTGTAACAATTCTCCTTTGCTTTCTTGATCATTTTCCCTAAACTAAGTTGGGCTCTCGTTTTCTCTGGTGGTTGGTGACACACAACTCTGTTTTCCCCAGATAAATGTTAAGGGTTCACAAAAGTAGATGATATTTAAATCTAATCTGATGGTGTGCAATGTGCAGGAGATCATGCTAAATAATCTAACAATCCATCAAAGCCATAGGCACTCTGAAACTTGACACAGAGAAATGAGTCAAATTTCAGCTGAGATGCAGTAGCTGTGAACTCAGACCATCACCCATCCTGTTAAAGACAGGAAGAAGCCGCATGTTGACATTCATACCTGATCCCGAAAAACTACTTTAGGCACCAATAAACAAAAATCATGCAGGAAAAGGTCATTCTTTATACAGCAAAACGTAAACCTACTTACTTTGATGTTGATGCCAGGGCCACTAAGACCTTTAGGTCAGTAGCTACAGTATTGAAGCAAGCCATAGAAACACTGATGAAACAACAGCTCTCCAAAGATCTTTGCTCGTTGTTGCCAAATCTTTGGTTTATAAAGGAAAAAAAGGTAAAAAAGTGGCTGTGAAACCCATAGAATCACCTGATGTATGCGACTGCACAAATCAATGGATGAGCGCTTAGTGTAATTCAGTGTAATTATCACTGACAGAAAATGGTTCACCCACACTTTTACTTTATTTTCCTCTTCTTTTAGATTTCTTAGTAGTATTTCAGTTCCTGCAACATGGGCTAAATTCAGTGAAGACAACATCAGGGGCTCTCAACATGCAAGGGCCAACTCTGTCAAGCTCCGAAATGATGCAGAGGCTGGACTGAAGAACACATCTCAGGAGATGTGGAATCATTTCATCAGTACCAACCTGGCCTTTAATAACCGTATTGCTGAAGTTGCTGACGCAAAGAACAAACTCCAAGCACAACTGGGCAAGGTAAGATTCACCAAGAGTTGGCAGTTGCATTTTATCTTAATTGTACCCAAAAGGTGTGGAAATCTTCTCTAGAGTTTACATCCTTCCTGAATAAGCACCTCCTCAAAAGTTATACCTGTATTGCCTTTACTCAAACTGCATTTGATTCACACATGGCCTGAGAAGAGCTTACTCAGGCAGGCAGACTGACAAGATGACAAGGATTTACAAGGAACTGTGCAACATCTGACCATAATCACACACTATCTTCATTTGCAAAATACATGTTTAATGTGGGGAAAGATATTTCAGATGGTGTTTTCTTCTATTTTACAATCATTGATGACATTTCCAGGCCATTTCCTGATACAGAAATAGTACCTTAATGACTTTGTTTGTTTGTTTGTTTTTAAACAGTGAACTAACTTTGGAAAGTGTGCAAATAAACATGCCCCAAATAGCAGCACATTCATCAGTTTTAGAGGAAGGAGAAGACTAAGTTTTTGCACTTTCATTTCGCAGCAGTGAGGGAAGAGCCCTAAATTAACTAGTCCAAGTAAATTAACTGTCCAAGTCTTCCTTCCCTTTTGATAAATACACTTCCACATCTGTAACCTGAATTTTGGCCTGGCTGTGGTCAGAAACAGCCTGATATTTCAGAGTGGGTCAGACAGTCAACTTCTCAAACATCTCTTCTGCCTTTGTATTACACACAGCCAAAATGGCACAGAAAGAGACAGACCTCTATTAATCTCCACCTGTATTGCTTTTTCAGTAAGTTTTCACTGAAATAAGTGGTCTGTTGGAAGTGTATTAGTTGCATTTTGAAACATATATTCTGAAGTTAACAAGAGGTGCTGCGTTTGTACTGACAGATAAAATCTTGTGAAGCTAGCAAGACTCACAGTGTTACTTTCATGTAACTTCAGTCAGGGTTCAGTAAATTCTTCCATTAAGACTCTTTCTCTTAGAGAGGAACCACACATACACTAATTTTTCAGTGCACATTTGGAAACAATAGTTTTCCTGCCATTCTATTTGCCATAAGTAGGTTTAAGACATTTTCAGTTTATTTTTAGGGACACTTAGGAAAGTGCAAACTAACGAGCTAACTATCTGTTAAGTTACAGCTCATAAATTAATGTTTTTGGTTTTTTTTCCATGCTTATAAACCATGAAAGATGTTCAGTGTAGTTTTTTGAGTGTTTTAGATTGTATATCATCTATCTGCTACAACACTTTATCTCTGAATTGGCCATACAGGTTTCTCATAGATTTAAATCTATGAACATTTGCTTCACATTTTCCACTGACCTTTTTCTAATGCTTTTAAGTGCCCTTTTTATAAAAGAACTTACAGCATAAGATTGCAGAGGGTGCACATATGGCATCACAAAGTGCACTGTGAAATATCAACATACAAAGCAGGGATTTTCTCATGCAGTTCAGCTGACACTATGACATAACTGCTGACAACTGATACATCGTGGAAAAAATGGTATTTATGTCCCTATATAGTTACACCATTAAATAGCAATAATAAGCTATCTGGAGAAACATATCTGCATAAACAATAATTAGTTTGCATTGTACACATGGATAAAAAAGTATCAAATAAGATTGCACTCTATGAACCAATGCTGCTGTTACTGCTGAGTTACTAGTTAGCATATACATAGCAGAGATACTTTACTCATCACAAACTCCACAGTAATGTAGGTACATCAGAAGAGCAAAATGCTAGAAAAGAACGAAACTGCATGAACTGGTGAAGAGTAATTCAGGCTGGTCAGTGTTGTCAAAGGAAAGGAAAATTCAGCAGGTTTACTGAGCAGAAACATTGCTGGTTAAGATGTGGGTGAAGTCATAGGGTAAAAGTCCTGTTAATTCTCTTGCTCATGACCATACCTCAAAAGGACAAGAGGAAGAAGGTGGCAATTGAGGGCAGAAGGACTGGATGCTCATTTAACAGTTATCTATAGGTAAGCATAGCAGAGAACCCTTTCTTTCTCCAGGCTTGCAATATAGTCTGTAATAATTGCTAGGATATGGTCTAATAAAACAGGCAACAGCTTTCTCTTAAATTCTACCACACTTCTGTTCTTCCACTGGGATGTGTGATTATAGCCAAATGCAGCTACTACAGTTCCTGTTCCCTTCACATCTAATAGCAATTAGACAATGGGTGCCACAGTTTTATTTTTGCGTTTTAAAGAAATCAGTCAATCTTTCAAAGGCTGTTTTTGCACTGACTTCTCAAGCAATGAATGCCACTCTCAAAGACATCTTTTCTGCCAAATTATTTTTCAAGTTAAGCAGGCTAGCTCCATAAAATGAGAGGAAAATGAGCACAGAAAAGATTTGCTATCTGGGAACCAGGAAAATTATTAATTTAATGAGGTCTGGAGCCCATTTCGGAATGAAAAATACTTTTCTGATTTGTGAAACAGCAAAATCTCTTCCAGACAAAAAAAAAAACCCAAACAAAAAACAAACCTCTACAGGGAACCCAATGCAACCATTTTTTTTTTCTAAAATCAGTACCCTGGAAAAGAATTAAAAAAAAAAAAAAAAGAAGACTAAATAGTGTGAATATGGTGATGATCTAAAAATGATCCTATGTTGAAATGGCACATTTTCTTTTCTTACAAAAGACTTCAGGTAGTTTGCCTTAACTGGACACACTTTCCAGTACAGGTAGGCCAAGAGATGGCACCTAAGAACTTTTCTTGGTAGGCATTTGAAAAACTGATTTTTGCTCCTTCAATAACTTTCTCAAAACCCCAACATTCAAGCTTCCTGGCACACAGTCTTTGTCTCTTTTTCATGCCTAAAACAGTCCAAATAAGACCAAATGCCTTCAATCTGTAGTCATCAGACAACACACATGATGAAAACATGCATACACCATCACTTTATAATATATATCACCTGCCCCATCACAGTTTTTACTATAAACCTACAAAAATTTGCATTTAGTTAGAGGGATGGCTTAGCAACTTACAGATATCTTGTCTTGGGGCAGATCAGATATATTTTTACCCTTTATTCTACTTGGAGTTTTATCTGAACCCCAGTACTGAATGGGCTCCAAAACCAGATAAAGTAACCAAGTCACAGCACAAGGGAAATCTCCAAAGAGCACTGGTTGAAGTGATTCCCATTTACTTTTCTGCATTCTCAGCCCAGCTGCTGTCTGCTCTCACTGTTACTTCACTGATATATTCAGGAAATTGTCTTGAGTTGACTTCAGATTTTCATTGCCTGTTATTTGGCTTATCCTGCCTGCCTCTTCTTCTGGAGAAGCAGGCTGGTGAGGCAGACAACCCCAAGTCTATCAGAAGACTGAGAAGTGATATGCATGGGAGAAAGAATTAAATTGCTTTTGTATAGTTTTGAACAGGAAACTATCAAACGCAGAAGGGAAATGCTGTCCTTGAAAACCTTTTTTATACCTGTCCCCGTCCAGTTCACTGTAGAGCTTCTATGTAAAATTATTCCCTGCCCGCTTTTGCTTGATTTTCTTCTAGAGGACTAAGACAATTTGCCACCTTTACAGCAGCAATCAAACCCAGTCTATGGGAGCAAGGGTGTGGTATAAAGCCTGGAAGTCATCACAGCTGCAAGAATGATTAAAGGGACTGGAAAGCAATCAATTGATAGCATAAGTTCCTCAACTTTCTCTTTAGCAGGCTGAAAAAGGTGATGTTAGTAGCACTTGACACTTGCTTTATTTAGCTTATCCAAATAACAGTTGGAGTAGGGGCAGAGAACTTGCTAAATCCACAAGCATCTATACAGAAGAAAAAAGAATCATAATAGATGACTTTTTACTTAAGCAGACAAAACCAAAAGAAGCAACGGTGGCCAGACAAAAGCCAGATAAGTCTAGATGGATAACATAAGCACTTATGTTTCAGAACAAAGGAATTCATCACTGCAACAGCTTACTACAGGTAGATGGCTTCATTAGCACCAGGAACTCAAAATCAAGATCGCTGTTCCCCCTGAAAGCTCTGATCTCCGCAGGCACTAGCTTAAAAAGGAATTTCTACAGAACAGTCTAGTGATCTGCAGGCAGTGCAGACTTAGTGTGTAATTAAGACTTATTTCTGACCCCAAGACTGAAGATGTCCCATGTCCATTTCTATCCCAACTGCACAAGTCGATGATTAATTTACTTATTTTGTTCTGGGATTAATCTCGGTCAGAACAATCCAAGGTTCATCCAGAATTTGGATTGCAGAACCCTGGAAAAATGAGGTGCTGGAGGCAGAAGCCCAGAAGCCCTAACTAGGTATTTGGCAAGGGTTAGATCACAACCCAAAGAAGGTATTACAGCCCCACTGTGTTTCATCATCACTGGGCTCACAGAGCATGTGGTTGGTTAGGGATGCAAATATTCTTCAAGAGTCTACTCACTCTTCAAGCTCCAGGCTGCTCTAGGACCAGATTTTTAGGCTGGTGAACAGAAAATAGAGTGTACACAATTCAGTATAGAGGAGGGTGCTATGTGTTCTTCAGCATGCCTCAAGAAACTGTTTATGCCAGGAAACATGATAAATATATTTTACATCTGGTGTAAAAGTACACAAATCTTTAGGAAAAGGAGGAAAACCTTTAATCATTGTGCCAGGCCCTCATTAAAATGTTTGCATCTCTTTTCCATAAAGTTAGTATTAACGTAAATAGTTACCTTGGCATCAGTCTCCTGGAAATAACCAAGGGGGCAGGATGTTTACGTACATTAGCTCTGGGAATCAGTCAGACCAGACAGCAAGTGACATGTTTACACAGTCCAGTATTTATACCATGCCTAAATGGCAGATTATCCCTGCCAGCTCCAACACCTGTACTGTGCTCAGAAGTGTTTCTATGCCCAGTGGCAGAGTGCCCAGCACCACCCTTCCGGCAAGCCTTGCTATTCCCCTACCCAGGAGCACAGGGATCAGAAAGAAGCTAGAAAACCAGGTACATGTTTAGTAAAACACGTAAAAAATAACCACCCACTCCAAGAAACA